CGGAAAAAGCTGCTTTTGATCAAGTAAAGGACTGTTTAGCCTCTGCGGCTAAGTTGGCTCACCCCAGTGCCGATGGTCAGCTTTCAGTGTTCACTGACGCCTCGGACACGGCCTGGAGCGTGATTGTGACCGACGTGCATGATTGGGAGACCCGAAAACCTGTTAACGAACAGCGTCACCAACTCTTACACTGTCTGAGTGGGACTTTCTCGGGATCGCAAGCAAATAGGAGTGTGATCGAAAAAGAAGCATTTGCAATTGTGGCAGCTTGTGACAAGTTGCCGTACCTGCTTCTCCGACCTGCGGGATTTCGATTATACTGCGACCACAAGAATCTGATTTACGTTTTCGCCCCTGATGCTACGGTAAAAAAAACATATTCGAGGGAAACTATTGCGGTGGGCTATGAAGCTCGGTGAGTTCAGATACGAAATCCATCACATTGCTGGCGAAGATAACGTTTGGGCTGACATGGTTTCAAGGTGGGCTCGAATGCCAACTACGACTCGTGTAAAGAGAGTGAGTACTCGCCGGCAGCAACAGAACGAGCGTTTAATACTTCGGCCACTTGATGATACCGGTTTCGTGTGGCCTACCTTAGAGGCTATTGAGAGTGCACAACGGCGGTTTGGGACGACTGCAGAACGTACTGACCTCAACGACGATGCCGATGGCATCTGGCACAAGGATGAGAGACTATGGATACCAGTCAACGCTACTGATCTGCGTCGACGCTTGTGCATCATCGCACACTGCGGCCCGCAGGGACACAGAGGTCGAGACGCAATGATGGCACATATCGGCCGACTCTTCCACGTACCGCAACTTCGTCAGTGTGTTGAGAGATTCTTGGCAAGCTGCCTCCTCTGCCATCACGTGAAGGGGGGGAAGGTAGTGCCGAGGCCCTGGAGTGAAACATACCGCTGCAATGAAAGAAACCAAGCGTTGCACTGGGATTTTCTGTATTTAGGGGAAGCTTATGGTGACATGCAGTATCTATTGGTACTAAAAGATGACGCTAGTCACTATTGTGAACTCGTGAAGTGTGAAACCCCTACAAGTACGATTGCTGCTGATGCAATCATGGATTGGCACAGTAGATTTGGGATCCCTCACGACTGGATCAGCGACCAAGGTACACACTTCAAGAACGAAGTGATCGAGGAGCTGTGTACCAGACTAAAGTGCAAGCAGATTTTTTCGCCTACTTACAGCCCATGGATCAACGGGTCAGTGGAACGAGTGAACAGAGATATTCTTCAAGTTTTACGAGCTCTCATCCTGGACTACAAGCTCAACCATAGAGACTGGCCAAGATTAATACCTATCGTGCAAGCTAGCCTAAATCATACTGCCGTGCCGTCACTGGCAGGCAAGACGCCTGGTGAATTGTTTACCGGCTTGGAGCCCCCTTCACCACTACAGGCGGTATACCTGGGACCAGAGGTGGATCCCAGTGTACAGTTAACTCGAACCTCAGCCGAGATCGAGTCGAGCCTGAATGAACTAAGAGTTAGTATTCGGGAGATGCACAAGGCAGTTGAAGACGCCCGTCTCAAGCAGACTTTACTGAACAAGAAAAAGGAGCGAGGTGATAACATCATCAACTTCAACGTAGGTGACTATGTACTGCGTTCTCGTGTGGACGAGAAAGGCCAGATCAAACTGCTCGTTACATGGATCGGCCCCTACGCAGTTACTGCAGCTCTACCCTACAATGTGTTCAAGGTGAAGCACCTTGTATCAGGCTCGGAACTTGAATTTTTTTAAATTAATATGCACGCCTCGAGGCTCAAGTTTTTCGCCGATAAGGATTTGGAGGTGACCGAAGAGCTTTTGGAGCACGTGGCCGCTCAGGGCATCATCCTTCGTGTGCGTGAGCTACGTCGACACCGCTGGAACGACCGGAGCCGGTCCTACGAAATCCTAGTTGGGTGGCATGGGCTAGAGACAATAGAGGACTCGTGGGAGCCTCTAGTATCACTGCACAAGGACGTGAGTACGTTAGTGCAAGGATATGTTGCTACAGCCAAAGACTCAAAGCTTGAGCGCCACCTTAAAGCACTAGAAGCGCCAAAAAAGCGGCGCTAAAGCTTTACGTGTATACATGTATACCCCTCAGTATAACGACTATACTTTCACTGAATTGAGGTTTATCCTTGGAATTGTGGTTGTTTTGGTCATTTTCTGTTGGATTTGCATGGCAAGGAAGACTTCAACTGCAATATGTTGAAGTTGGTCACATAAAGCAGACCGCGTGATTAGTCATATGACTAGTCACATGGTTATTCATGATGAAACAGCGTATTACCGAGCGGTAATTATTATGTAATAAAATGAGTACAAGCACAATTTGCCCGAGTGGTCAGGTTGGGCTTGAAAGGGGACTGTAGTGGGTGGCGGCTTGAAAGCCCAACCACGACCACACTATACAGTCGAGAGTGACGAGCAAGCTGGACAACCAGCATGTGGTTGCAGTCAGCCACCAGCGTGCCAGGTTGTTGCAGTTTACAACTGCAAGTTGCAGCTCGTCATCTCAAGCTGGTGAAGGTTCTAGTTAGGGAGTCCTTGCTAGAGGCTGGGCTATCACTGGGACGCTGGTGATAGCTATGTAGAGCTTTGGATTGCATGCATGTTTCGATCTCACTTTACATTTTACCAAGACACAAACAATACAATCGGCTATACTTTAAGGAAGTACCAGCTTCCTTCGACCGTCTTGTATTCACTACTGCGACCTACTACACCGTCCGAACGTGCATTTTCAAAAAGCGGAAATGTAGTCACCACGAGGCGCTGCTCGTTAGCCCCCGATATTATTCGCGATACTTTGTTTGTCAGCGAAAATTACGAAGAGAATGATGACAATGTTTCCAGGGAGCAAAGTGATAACAGTGACGAAGATGGCGGGTAACATTCCGGTATTGTTGTATGACCGAATGATGAAGTGAAATTTACGTCAGTCCCATCCGAACGAGCATTTTAAACTGCCAGCAACACAGTCACAGCAAAGCGATGTCAGGTTGATAGGAAATTAGTACGGTAACTTGATTTTTTATTTCGGAAACTACGTACAATCTTGTAGTACTGGTTTATTGGACTTGTTCACGTAGTCGCGAGACTGAGGAGCGTTAAAATATGCGCGTAGTACAAACAGTATTTGTGCCTGCGCCTCGTCTTGAGTCACAGTGTAATCAACAAGAACGCGGAGCTTTGCACGTCCTCAAGGTTTGTTTCAGCTTCTTTATGTCGTATCACGTCATACCAATTAGCGCGTAAGGATTGGCGTCTCGAGAGGGTTGGTTGTCCAGATTGTGAGTCTATTTAGGGATTGATGATCCATAAATTTAACCGCGTAAAGCACTTCACCTAAGTTCTCTTTGCTTCCACAAATATCTTTCGGCCAGCTTCGATGCCGTCACACACCAACAGAGCGACGTAAAATCAGGATCGACACCTATGTAACCACAGCGAGCATACCATCCAATCCATAAGTACCTGCTTCATATCGTAGCCAGTATTGTCCTTGCGCATCGTGCTCAAGCTGTCAATTACCATACCATTAGCCAGAACGTCTCCGGTACCCAGCACCGTGCCGCGACGTGTTCCATATTCAAGGGGCGCCAACGTTTGTAGCCACCATTGCAAGTACCCTTTGCTCCAAGATTTAAAGGCCCTGCCTGGCAACTTAATTGTCAAGATTCTCCAAAATGCATCCACTAGCGCACACCAAAACACCAGACTCCTCGCCGAAAGACACCACGTTGTTCATCGCCGTCACTGACAGCACAATTTCGTCGTGCACTGGAACGCTGCCACGCACCAGGCCCATGTTGCCCCCCAGCGTCACCACCGGCATGTTGCGCTCGCTACATTATTTGAGGATGGCGGATACCTGCTCTGTGGTGTTGGGCTTGGTTACTGGCTGCCTTGTAGTCATTAAAAAAAAACCGTGTACCAGTTAGGTCTTAGTGGCACTAAGACCTAACTGTTACACGGTTTTTTTTTTTGCCGACGGCACTAAGTTAGTGCCGTCGGCAGCAGTGAGCAAATGCAGGTCGACAATAGTACGTTAGCCAATCCGAATAAAGAATTCATTTTAGCCAATTAAAACACGTATCGTTATTCCATCGCTATCGCTTCGGGAAACCCCAGATAACGTTACGCAATTGTCGCGAAGATAACGGTGAAGGGATTCCCTTTATCGTGCATAGGCTGTGTTGTCGATATGCACAAAATAAGTCACAGTCGTTTAGGCTACCCATGTTGAGTACAAAGGGTACATACGTACCCGTAGCGCCCGCGAGACATCGCCAATGCATTCACAGTTGTAAAGAAAGTCATTCGTCCTTTACGCGATAGCTTTTGATTCAAAAGCTAAATGCCGCTTTACATTGTTCAAAAGTTTTGAACAATGAATAAAGCGGCATTTTGGCGATTATCGAAGTTTAATGAACTGACTTATCTGGGTCAGCTGTCCTAAATCAGGAGTGGTCATAATGATAATGATTTTCAGGCAAAAGTGCAACAGTCCTAAGCAAACATCGTTCATGTATTACGACCTGACCGGGTTTGTGTGACTAAACATGAACGCTAGGCTTCATGGCGTCTTAACAAATTAAAAAAGTATAGGAAGGCAGGCATATGCTTAATAACTATTCGTATTAAATGGTGTCTTTACTCTACACGTGTGAATAACAGGACAGTACTGTAGGAATACACCCTGGAGATGATGTGGAAAACCCTATCGTAACAATTTAGCAAAAACAAATCTGTGGCCAATTGCACGAGTAAGGAAAAACCAGCCACTGGGTGTAGAGACTCTGCAGCGAGAATTGGCTACAAGTGTAACTTTCAAGCTAAATGAAAACTTGCTTCGAAGTACTAGAAATGTAAATTCGGGCGGACCTAAGCATTAGCAATTATTTTATAACGACATATCATACGTTACGAGAGATCCACTTTCAAACTGCTTCATGCTAGTCGTTGTTCTTCTGAAGCTAGCATCTCGTAAAGTTGTCGTCTGGTGTCACTCGTGCCTTGTAAAATGCGTTCGACACGTCCTCTAAGGTACCTAACAGCTTTATCATTGGAGTTATCATGTCCGCTTGCGAGTGAATACTCATTGCTTTCCCGGTTGAGTTATCCCAACGAAAAATGACGGAGCCACACATTACGAGCCTCTTACCCAGCAGTTTTGAAGCAAGGGGTGACCACGCGCCACCTTTAGTGCCACCGACACCATCTCTGTTTAGGTGAGGGAATGCGAGGCGGAGCGTGTTGGATGTGATGGTCATGCTGGTGGTTGTACCAGCAATCAATGTATCGGACGTTGGCGTCTTCATGCCCTTTACCTCCATGTGGACATCTTCAAAGTACGTGGCGGACAATCTCCAGTTCTTGAGCCACTCGTCAGCTTCAAATGACGAGCTGTCCTCGGCACCCGGCGCCATGAACTCATGGATGAACTTGAATGCCGACTTGTACAGCTTTTCAGGAGAGGACACGTAGTAATTGAGCTGACGGAAATAGTCGGATGCCAGAGCCCAACTTGTCGGCGCTGTTGGCTGTCGAGTTTCGCTGTAGGTCTTGTTCTCGAGTTGTTTTATTTCCGACTTGAGTTTGTCGATCGCATCTTCAATATCCGTTTCGACTTGTACTTGTCTTTGTCGGTATCGTGCCTGGTTGATACGACAACGCTCTCGATGGCGGATCTTCTTTTTCAAAGCATCCGCGACGATGGCGTGCTGCAACTCCGGAGTGAGAAAACTGTTGGCTCCTTTAATGTTTTCGCTGATGCTGTTCACGGTCTTCAGATCGGATAAAAGGCAAGAAATTCGCTTTCTTCTTGACGATGAGCCACTCTGCCCGATCAGCTCTGCAATGGAGGGTGACAGAACGGCACCCATGGACGCATCGGTGGTCTTCATACGGTTTTCGACAGTGTACTTCTAGTAAGGTTGTTGACAGTGTGCGTGACGGGATGTGTGGCGTCTGGAGCGTTGACGATACGAGTTTGCAGCGATGAGGCTGTTGCCTCTGACGTCGTCAACGTTTGCAGATGGATTGTCTCGGGTCTGCCAAGCGGAACGCTGCATGACAGTGCCGACCACGGCGTCGCTCAGGGCCGGGTTGTTAGGTGTGCTGAAAGCGGAATAACGTATATTGTATCACAAGGCTCAAGCCGTCAGTGGAGCTTGTTAAACGATCAGCGAAGTCCGTAGGAGATTGAAAAATGAGCTCAGTGTTACTGAGAGAAGTACTGTCGATTTGTTCGAAACAGACGGCGGAATCGTGCTTGTTCTGTGATGAAGCTCTAAACATTTGTATTGACATGCGACAAAGATGATTGGGGATTACGAACCGAAGTAAACATGTACTGTATACTACGTTTAAAGCGACACAGTGCACACAGCCTCAAACTCACTAACGAATAAGTCATTTTATCGCTAGAAACTCCTTAAGAACCGGTCAAGACCCCCCCCCCCCTTGTGTATCGTAGCTTTGGTATAATGGATCCCTCGTGTTAGACGCCAGGTCTTCGAGAGGTTCACACAATACATGTTGTCATCACGCGATCACTTGCTCAAATCAAAGACGCTTTGTCGCTGGGATGTTTGCCACAGTGACTAATCTTTGACGAGGTGCATTATCCAAAACATATTTATTTATAACATATTAGTAGTAACCGGATAAAACGGTCCTTTTACTAGTGTTTAAATATAGCTACGTGCAGAGTACTGGGACAACGGTAAATCCTCGCCTTGCTTTTCATACCGGTCCAATTTGAAAGCTGCTTTTAAATAAAACTATACAGCTTGAACGAGTTGACAGCCTAAAGTCGAGAGCCTCGTTATTGTTAGTTGAATGACACGTATCTATTCCTTCATGTACTGTACCCACGGGACTACATAATCGCATTGCGTTCCTTTTGCCTGTATACTTTAAAATTAGTATTTTTGAACAGGCGCACCACTTCTCGATTGTACTATTTCTTATGACCAGTGTTAGAATCACACAATAAGAGTGTGACTTCGTACTTAAGCGCATATTAGTGACACAGACACGGCACTCCGTCTTGTGTGGCGAATACTAGCGTCACAAAGCCACAAAAGGGCACACTATCAAAATAAATTACCCGATATATTTCAAAAATTTCAGCCCGTGCCGCGTGCTTGCGCATACCGAAATGTGCTGTGAATGCTGTGCTAATGGTCGTGTTGCACGACGGTACGCAAGACTTCGCTCAGTCAGATTTCTGCCGCAGTGAGAGGCGACGCGGGCGCTGCGGACGCGCGAGGAATGACGGATGAAGACGATGGAAACAAGCGTCCGAGATGCAAGTAGCACGGGGAGGGGACGTCCTCGTCACGACGTGATTTGCTTTGCATGGAGGCTGTGCCGCCGTGCTGAAGGTCTCGAACAAGCTATCCAGCGTTGGACATGTGACCAAGTGCCCGAGAGCCATGCAATGTGGGCATCACCCAGTCGTACAGCGCTGTCAAGACCACCGCAGAGTCGAAGTAAGAGCATGTTTATGGGCATGGCCGCGCAGCTCGTGCCTTGCCAACAGTACCAACAACGCGGTTCCAGGTCGGACACGGAGATTTGTAGCGGTTGCTGATGGACTCATGAAAGCAGATACATGGTGGAAAAGTGCTTACGCTATCCCATGCAGCACGGCATGCTGCATGGTCATGAAGAGAGTCGAAAAACGGGCGCGCGAGCTTGCGAACACGCATGCAAGACGAAAGCATTTATGGTTCTTAAAGGAGACGACGTGCCGGCCGCCTCAGTCCTAGTTATGCAGACATATTCGTGGCTACTTATAAGATGCAGCTTCACATAAGGTTGATTCAAGATCTCGTTTGAAAGGCACATACACGTTCTTGAACGCTAGTTGAACCTAGGCGAAAAGCGACTTCATCAGAAAACTGCACTCTCGTTCTCCATAAGGGCATGCTGCACGTATTGGCCCTGTGTGCCACAAGTCACACAAAAACCACAAAGTCACAAAATGCGACATCGCCACACCAAAACCACAAAATGCCACAACGCGACCACGTAAATCACAAAGCACCACAATGCCGCAGTAAATCGCCACAAAAGTCACACATTTGTCAACAAGCCACAATAGTCACAAGTAGTCACCGTGCAAACAAACACAACGAGCAACATTAGACGGTCAGACACGTGAAAGATAGATGAAGCGCTCTTACATGGCCAAAAACGTCGTGAATCATGAAATTGAAAAGCTTGTATCTGGCGTCGTTAGTGTTGTGAGTCGCGTCGATCATCAAAACCTCGGGAAAAGCTTCGAAAAAGCGCCGCATTTGATGAGTCTGGAAAGTAATTACTTGAGCCAACTTGTCATCATCCACGTAGATGGTAGCCGTGTTTCCTTTTCGCAAGCAGAAGTCTCTAAGGCTGGACTCTAACCTTGCTTCAACAGTAGTAGATCCTCGGCGTTGCTCCTTAAGCTTCTGCACCATGTTGTGCACGTCGCGTAGGGTTACCTGCTTGCCTGCCAGATGAAACAGATTAGTTCAGCAATATTATAGCAATAAAAAACAGCAAATGATAGTACTAGTACCTGAGCGACGCCGCAAAAATGCAAGTATCAACTTCTTTTTTGCTCCAGCAGCTTGTAGCTCGTCGACAAAATCAAGCATCTCTTCATCATCTATACGTCGATTGGCAGAGTGCTTGTTATACTTGTCTGGTCCGAGGCCGTGGTTGTGCGTCGTGTTCTGCTGGGTTATCTTCACTTGAAAACCATGATCTCCTGACCACACCACTGTAACCGAGATCTGAGCCTCGCACCCCGTCGACTTGACAAAGTAGTTGGAGCGCTTGCCAGTAGACCGACTGGGCCGACTCCAGCCATGCGTGCAACAAAGTCGCCGGTAGTATTTGTCGAACGAATCAGGAATTCTTGTCGTCTCTGTCAGCTTGCCTCGCTTCGCTAATTCAGCATTCCTAGATGCAGCACTTGTAGAGGTACGCTTACGGAACACTTGGTGGGTCTGCTCTTGGTACTGCTCCAACGCCGAAAAAAATGCACCCCACGTTGTGTAACAGCGCTGCTCTAACGGGGGAGCACACGCAGACGTATTCCACGATTCCGGGACGTGTATCTCCGGAGAGCGTGCCTCGGCAGGCTCACTCTCGCCGTCCGATCCCGAGCCAGTCGACGCGACGCTCGCCGTTTTGTCGAATTTGGTCCTGTTTCGAAATGAACGGCGGGAAATCGTCGGGGGCGGGTGAAAGGGGGAGAGGGGGTGACACGGAGGAGGGGGGAGCTGGAAGGAAGGGGTGTTTTTCTATTTTCCTGTTTGTCGGAAATTTTGTTTCTCGGGACTTTATTTTAAATTACCGGACTCGAAGTGGATCCCATGTGTGACTTTATCCACTTCCAATTTTTTTTTTTATAATGACATTCGGGGAGTTTATTAAAGTAAACGAGCACAGCATCTGGATATGATCGACGATCGGTTTTGCTAAGCAACACTGGTACGGCGGAGACATGTAGCCATCACAATTTGTAATTCTAATTTACTAGCATAGACGTGTAACAGCGTGTGTCTTCGATATTCGTTTCCGGTGGTTATCGAACAACAGCGGTATATCAAAGATAATATCTTTGATATATATACTTCGTTCTGTAGTACTTCGGTACACCGATTTCACAGTAGCTATCTTTATTTCGATTATCAACAGTCTGAGAAAGCTATAGTGCTTAAAATTATGCATGTAATACTGTAGCGCACTGACTGACAATTAGGATGAAGTTCAATTAGATGTATTGTGCGTTCTGCTCGAAATTGCGCAATAATATTATTGACTTGCCTTGAGTTAATGTGTACTTAAGTACGATCTACAACAACTCAGGGCCGTTTCAAAATGATAGGAAATTTGTAAGCAAGGGACTCAGTGAACGCATATTTGTTTTTCAATACCAAATCTTAAAGAAAACGACGCTACAGATTTTGGGCTCGCCACCCACACAGGGAGCAACGCTGGTCTCGGGCGCAGGCTGAGCACCTACCCTCATATAGCAACGGGAATGCTTCAACAAACGTTTTTCCCATCTCCTTTAGAAACCCACCCAGTTTGTCAAATACAACGTGTTATCTATTGCCAGGCTATACTTAAAAAAAATGATATGCTCGCGTTTAAGTACGGGTACGTTTTTTAATTAACACAAGACACGAAAAAAGGGAAGAAACTTCCACATGTATGCACAAACTACCTCCCCTTGTCCAAATCTACAACACGTGACACATAAGTTAAACATCAGAGTAAATGCGTACAGTAAAACCTGTCCTATGATACCTTGAAAGGCTGATATCCTGGTATATCTGATATGGAATTGACCCACCGACTTGGTAGTTATCTATTATTATGGGACAAATCTGATAGTGCTGAAACGCGTAATGTGATATGCTTTTTCCCAAAACAAATCTTAAATTTGTATGCATTTTTGTTTACTTAAGAGCGTGTAGTGGCAGCAAAAAGGCACATAATCGAATTCTGAGTCAGTGCTTCCTCAGTTTCTAATCGGAGTTTCTCTCGTGCACGCGATTGAAGCAGTGGTAGGTCCCTCTCCAACTTGTTTTCTAAATATAGGTGGTCCGTTAACATTAGAAGTACTCCTCGGACTGCATCAACACCTTGTTTTGCAGTCATAGCGTAGCTCTCTTCTTCTACAGCATCATTATATTTAGTGGGCATGCTTTCCGTAGCAGTTTCCAGGAATGCAATATCAGTTGTGTTGCTCCAGAGTTCCGCTGCTGAAAACGACTGCATTTTCGTGTTCTCCCCCGCAGCGTTGCAAACGAAGTCTGCAATGTCCTTTGGGTTACGGACCGTAGCCGTGCCATACATTCGAGCAACTCACTTTCCAAGATGCTGTCAACTTTTTTTTGGG